AACAACTTAAATAGGATTTTGAGATACAAGATCACTATGAGAATTAAACAATGATAAAGTAATTATCAAGGTTAGAGAATCTACTAATGATATTTCAAACAAGTATAGTATAAACTCTTTTTATTACTCAACTAGAAACCACACACAAAGAAGATTCTAATCAGATTATAAATTGTTAACATGATTATATTAATTATCTTATTCGAATAATGCTAATACTTGTAAATATTATCAAATATTCATGATCATAACTTAACAATAAATCAAGTTTCTTTCATAGTGCAGGTGTTGATTATACCATACGGTTGGGCTATGAAAGTTCCAAGTATTTGTTGTATCAAAGGTTATACAATATAAATCTAGATTAATCATTTAACAAGCAAAGTATTAATAGTGAATAAGATAACAAATATAAATATGTTAGTATCAAATATTAAAGTCCATGTTGAGTTTACACTATACGTATTCTCACACCATTAGTGTAACCTTTTCGCATTGACATAATAAACTTAACTAAATATAATGAAAGAGAGAAACATAAATAAACAAGATAAGAACATAAATAAGATATAAGTTAACTAAGTAAAGAAAAAGAAATGAAAGACCTAAATAATTAGTACTTAAAAGTGCATTTTTATCAAGGTTTTATATCAACATTTTGCACTTAAAGTATCACTAACTCCTTAACTAAACAATGTTTTATAATAATAAGTCTGATATATAAGATACTTTTAATTTATGGTAAATGTTTATCTTAAATGCAAGCTTACCACATAAATCAAAGAATTGATTGATGAGTTCAACCACTGAAATTGAGATGACAAAGAGAGGGTGAAGCTTAGAAAAAATATGTTGGTTTAGTCCAAACTGGAACACTGTTCAATCATTAGGTCATATATAGAGCTGTAGATCTTGGATTTTAATTTGGTTTATATAACTAGAAAGCTAAGACATAAGCATAAAATATTCATAGGAATGTAAGATTTAATTTTGCTATTTGAAAGTCTAAATCTTAGTAATAATAGAGAAGTTAGAATCTGTTCTGCAACCCAGATACTGTTCAGTGTTCAACCCATATGTTGAGTTCTAGAAGTCCAAATGATCTCAATTTTTTTTTGTTGGAAAGCTGAAACACTTTCTTAGAACTTTCATGATTTAAGTCTTTTCAAATTCTGATGTTAGCAATAATGCTTTGTTTAGACAAGAAGATAAGGATTGTCACAAAGTCAAGATGTGACCACCCACTCAACAATTAGTCAACAAATCAATAATTTCTAATTTTGGCTTATAAAAGGAGGCATTTGCTATACATTTAGATATCTTGATTTTCAGATCAAGATTATGTTCTTGCTTTGTATTTATTGTAATGCATCAGTTTTGATTATGTTAATATCTTGTTTATACTTTTTATTTTATTTTCTTTACTTAGTTAACTTATATCTTATTTATGTTCTTATCTTGTTTATTTATGTTTCTCTTTTTTCATTATATTTAGTTAAGTTTATTATGTCAAGGTGAAAATGTTATACTAATGGTGTAATAATAAGTATAGTGTAAACTCAACATGGACTTTAATGTTTGATATTAACATGTTTTGTATTTGTTATCTTGTTCACTCTTAATATTTTACTTGTTAAATGGTTATTAGCATTATTCGAATAAGATAACTAATATAATTGTGTTAACAATTTATAATCCAATTGGAAACTTCTTTATGTGTAGTTTCCAGTTGAGTAATAAAAAGAGTTCATACTATACTTGTTTGAAATACCATTAATGGATCCTTTCACCTTGAAATTTGTTTTTATCGTTGTTTAATCATCACATTAATCTTACAATCTCAAAGTCCTATTTAACTTACTATTACTACTACTACTGTTATTATTATTGTTGTTGTTGTTGTTATTTATAATTTACATAGCTAACCTCCCCGTGGTTCAATCCTAGTCTTGCTAGATTATTTATTATTTTGACACTCCTACACTTGGGAGAAGACATCAATCTTTTGGGTCGTCTCAAGTTTTTGGCGTCGTTGTAGGAAAGGAAAATTATCATAGAACTTGTAGTATTTAATTTATTTTCTCTTTTCTCTTTTCTTGTATCTAAATTTGTTTCTTTTGTTTTATTTCATTTCATTTTGTTTTCTTCTTCATTTTATTGTCTTCTTACATGTGTATGAGAGTTTGGTCACATACATTAAGTGATAGACTTTGTAGGATATTTTTATCATTTTTAGAAAATATAGCTGAAGAAGATAATCAATAACTTTATAATGACAATATTAAGAATAATCATGTTAGAATACTTGGAGACCACATGAATCCAACAAGAATAAGTGCACCCTCATACATAATTTTTCCTTCTGATACATCTCATTTCAATTTAAAGTCACGTATTATTCAACTTTTACTTCCTTTTCATGGTTTAGATTTTCTCCATACTTGTATTTAAGAGAATTTGAGAAGGTCTGTAACACCTATAATGACTTAAATTGTAGTATGAACAACATCAAATTAAATTTTTTTTTCTTTTTCTTTAAAAGATAAAGCTAAAATATAGTTATAAAATTTAAAACCATGATCCATTCATGTTTGGAATGAAATGTAACAATAATTTTTAAAGAAGTTTTTTCCATCTCATAGAACAAACTCTTTCAAAAGATAAATCATTACTTTCATTAAAAAATTAGGAGAAACATTTTAACGATATTGGTATATGTATTGAGATTTGCTTAATACTTGCCCTCATCATGGTTTTGAAATATGAAGATTGGTTTCATATTTTTATGAAGGATTAACACCTAGAGATAGGCAAATGGTTGAATTGATGTGCAATAGAACCTTTGAAGATAGAGACCTTAATGAAGCAATAGAGTACTTAGACTTACTAGCTGAAAATGCTCAAAATTAGAACACTACAGACACCCGGTAAAACTCAACCTCATACATCTAGTCAAGGTATGTATAACCTTAAGCAAGATCATAACCTCCAAGTTAAATTTTTAACTTTAGCTAGAAAAGTCGAGGCACTAGAATTGAAAAATAATGGTAAATTAAAATCTGTTCAAAACATTGTGTATCAAATATGTGAAACCAATAAATACTTAACCAATGACTGTTCAACTTTGTCTTATTTTAAGGAATAACTCAACCAATGACTGTCCAACTTTGTCTTGTTTTAGGGAATACCTCCATGAACAAGCTCATGTTTTAAACAGTTTTCAAAAGCCTAATCATAACCCATACTCGCAAACATACAATTCTGGTTGGAGAAATCACTCAAATTTCAACTGGAAGAGTGATAACAATAATGCACAAACTTCATAGCCATTGTTTCAATCACACCATAAATTTTAAAATTCTTATAAATATGCACTTCCTTATACTCCACCTCTTAAAAATAGCATTACATGTTTTATTTTCTATATAGAAGACACAATATTTATATGGAGTTCAAACAAGCAATTTATAGTCACTTTATCAATATGTGAAGTTGAACATGTGCTTGTCATTCCATATCGCTAAAGAGATAATTGAAAGAATAGTGAATGCTACATAGAAGCCCTTTGAAATTTATACGGATAACTCATCAGCCATTATATTAGCAAAGAATTTAGCGTTTCATTATAGAAGTAAGCATATTGACACGAGAATTCATTACTTATGAGATTGCATTACAAACAAGGAAGTTGAAGTCAAGTATTTAAAGACATAAGACCAAGTTATGAATATCTTCACAAAGCCATTAAAAAAATAATTTTTTTTATCAAGATGAGAAATATGTTGGGAGTTATAAAGAAATCAAGTTTTAAAAGGATGCTGAAAGTAAACTGATTTTTAAAAATTAGTTAAATTGGTTGAGTAGTTGAGACTGAGTAACCAAGTGGAATAAATTAAAACAGTCAACTAGTTAAGAAATAGTCAACTAATTCATTAAGCAAAATACAATTCATATTCAAATTAGAATTTTTTTGTATTAGTTTAATTTTTTTATTGTTTAAGAATTTATGCTAATAAAAAAGCTTGTAATTCAATATTATTGAGTAACACAAAAAAAAAAAAGAATAGCTATGAGAGTTTAAAGATAAACACTTAATAAAAGTATACCTTCCTCTCAATCTTTTTTTATTCTTGAGTTTTGACTTTGTATTATTATTATTATTTTATCATATATCACACTTATATTTCTTCTAATATATTTGTCTCTCAGCGTAATAAATTTAAGAGTAAAGAAAACCCAACAACTATATATTATGGTAATCAAATGAATTGGTAGATCTAGAAATGTTTCAATAGGTATAAAAACCTAATCTTATATACACAATATCAATTACTATAAGGTGATTATAAGGTGACAATTAAATATACACAATATCAATTACTATAAGGTGACAATTACAAAAATAAAAAACAAAGTAGAAGAAAAAAGTTGAAATGAAAGAATTATTATAGAGATATTTTATTGTTTATATAAATAGTGAAATTGACCCTAACTGTTTTAATTGTTCTTTGTTATGTTAATAAGAGATTTTATGTTAACTTATGAAAAAAATTTCTTGTTATTTTGAAATATAAAATGTTATTATCAATTGAAAATAGAAGATTTTTGTTTTTTGAAAACATATATATGTTTTTAATTTTCTAATTTTACGAGAAACTCAAAAATATCAAAATAGATAGTTTAAAAAATCTTCATGTTATAAAATAAGATTTGTTTGGTTTATCTAATGTTTTATATCCATTATTATTATTATTTAACAGATATGCTATTTTCCCAAACAACTTAATAAAAAAATAATAAAGTAAACAAAAACCGAAACAAAAGAAACTTCAGAAACTTCTTCTACATGTGTCTGTGATTAAATTGGAATTAATATTGTGATAAATTGTAATTAATGCAAATTAAAAGCGCCTGGATTTACAAACTGATGTAAGAGAATTTAAAGACCTAAAAGAATTAAAAATTAAAGATCACTTTCTAGCCTCTATCTCTGTATCGTTATGACTTCTGCCCACCAAGTAAAGATCCTGGACGTTCACCATGTCACCCCATTCTTTACGCCACCCGAGTTTGCGACGGAGTTATCAGTCCCACTCACCTTCTTTGATATTATGTGGTTGAAACTCCAACCAGTTGGATACATATTCTTTTATAAACTCACCGAGTCAACACCAGCTTTCTTCAATTCAGTAATCCTTCCCAAACTCAAACATTCTCTCTCTCGTACTCTCATTCACTTCCTTCCTCTTGCTGGCAACATCACTTGGCCGCCACAGGCCACCAAACCCACAATTCTATACACTCCAAATGATGCTATTCAACTCACGGTTGCGGAGTCTAATGCTGATTTTGATCATCTCTCAGGCAATAACATCCGTGAAGCTATCAAGTCACATCATTATCTACCTGAGTTGCCTGTCACTGACGCAAAAGCTACAGCTATGACTATGCAAATAACATTGTTTCCCAATCAAGGCTTTTGCATTGGAATGTCTTCACACCATTCTATCCTTGATGGCACGAGCTACTCCATGTTTATCAAAGCATGGTCCTACATAAGCACACTTAGCGATAACGAGAAGCAGCAATATCCAACTTTGTTGCCAGAATTAACACCGGTTCTTGATCGAACAGGTATTCAAGATCCTGCAGGGTTTGAAAAGAGGTTCTTGAACGCCTGGTTAGGAGTAAAAGTTCCTGGTCAGGATCCTAGTTGCTCTAGAAGTTTGAAGCTTTTGCCAGTTATAACGCCTCAGTCTAGCTTAGTACGAGCAGTGGTCGAGGTATCTCGTGAGCAAATAAACAATCTTAGGGAAAGGGTTCGCACGCAATTCGAAAAGATCCACGAAGAAGATCCAAATGAAACAAAGCTCGTCCACATGTCCAGTTTTGTTCTCCTCTACGCATATGTGGTGATTTGTATGGTTAAGTCAAAGGGGTTAGAGAAAAATAGAAAGGTTGTTTTTGGGTTCCTCGCAGACTGTAGAGCTCGTTTAGAACCTCCAATACATGACAAATATTTTGGTAACTGTCTTTATCCCTTCGCTGTAGATACAGAAGCAGAAGCTCTGCTAGAGGAGAATGGGTTTGCCTGGGCAGTAGAAAGACTGGGTGATACTATCAGAAACTTAGAGAAAGGAGTTCTTGATGGAGTAAAGGAGGCATTGGCAACATATAACAAGACAGCAAGGCCAGGCGCTGCATTACTTCTTGGTGTTGCTGGGTCAACTCACTATGATGTTTATGGAACTGATCTTGGGTGGGGGAGGCCAGAAAAGGTTGAGATTACTTCCATAGATCAGACCGCAGCAATTTCTATGACAAAGTGCAAGCATGGAAGTGGAGTCGAGTTTGCTTTAGTTTTGGAGAGGAATGAAATGGAGAAATTTATGTCTCTGTTTGTTGATGGTGTTATTTAAGGCTTTGTTGCTCGGAACGGTGAACTGAAAACACCTAGCCATGTCCATGTTGAAACGATACGACACGGACACTGCTGCGGAAACACGGCTCTCAATTTGGTTGGAAATTTTTGAAGAAGTTATTTTTAAGTATAGTAAATCAAATTTATTTTTTTATTATTTTTAAAAATTAAATTCTATTTAAAATTTAATTTTTGACACTTAAAATGATTCTCAATTTAAAATTTTATCAAAACTTCTAAATTAAATTTAAATCATATGATTTAAACAGCCTATACATGACCATTAATTTTGCCATATAAGAGATAAGAGGTATGCAAAGTATTTTCTCTAAATGAAGACGGGTACCGAGGAATATTTTCCTCCTATCAAGAAAACTCGAATCCGAACCCAATATGTATAAATATATTTATTGTTCTTTTATTTTTTACCAACCATGTAAAACTTATTTTTTAAACAAGTTGTTCCTTGTGTATTAATTATTAACTATTAAATGATTTATTACAAAAACTCTTATTTATGTAGAGTCTTGAAACCCATAATGGACTAGATTAAAAAAAAAAAAACGCTAAATAAGAATACGCAGGCATCATCTACACATTTTATGGAACCAAGACAAATTTTAATTGTGAATCTAAAGGATGATGAATGCGTTTAATAAAATAAATCAAGAATTAAATATGTCAATAAATATTAAAAATAATTATTAATGCTAACTAAAAACTAAGTTGAATAGTTGAGAAATAAATATGGATTAAGATATTTAATATTATGTTGTATTGAGCTTTTTAATTTATTTTTATTTAATTATATTAAAATTATTTTTTTTTATAATAAGAGTAATAATTTAACTTATATTGAAAAAAATAATTTTCTAGTATAAATCCTCTTTCATTTTAATAATGTAATTAAAAATTAAAAAAAAATTAAAGTAATCATCAAAATAAAATTGAATGATTTAAAATTAAGATAAAATAGCATCTATTTAATTAAAAATCCTTCATTTTATTAATACGCTACTTTTTATACTTTTTTTTAACTAGAATATTTATTTTTTAAATAATAGCTTATCAAGACCACAAAAGCAAAATATAATAAGAAAATGAGAAAAAAACATGTTATGATAATTTTAACTCAAATATATTGCAAAAAAAAAATATATTACTCATGTCTTGTAACAAATAATTCTATTTTTGAATCAATTATATGATAGTAAAAAAAATATAGAGAAACAATATATTTTTCATCAAAGCCTTTTTTTTAATGATCCGGGGAATCTAGACCAATTTATGCGCATCACGACTAATTCTCGAAATCATTAAACACCTTGCAAGCTCAATAGGCAAGTAAGGCACCACAAGAATAACAAGCATGTGCATAAAGAGTCGAATCTAGATATAGAGACAGAGAATTCCCTGGTAGGTCCACTAGGCCACAACCCTCAAGCGCAAACCTTTTTCTTAATTCATATAAGTTTTTGATGTTCTGACAACAAAAAAAAAATCTTTTAGAAGTATAGTTTTATTGAATAAAAAATGACAACAATTTAAAAAAATATATATTTGCAGTAATTATAAAGATTTAATAGATAAAGTTAGTTAGATTATTGTACTAGATAATGTTGTTATTTATAGGACCAGCTACAAAAATAATTTAAAAATATAGTTATAGTAACAGTAATAAAATTATTTATCATTTCTCTTACCATATTGTGTTGTACGAAGACTAAGAGATAATTTACTAATTATCATGATTATGTATTTATTTAGGCTGTTTGCTATATGACAATTCTTGTGAATAGTATTATTGTTAAAATTGATATAAAATATCTAGATTATTGCTATTCTAATCATTTAATTTTCCACAAAGCTTTCTGTTTCTTGAAGAATCGGGAGATTGTAAATTTAAATTCTTATTATCGGTTACTTTGTTGGGTCATGATGATGTTCAATACGGGGTCTCAAACCAAATCCCAAATACTTTTGAGAATAAAGGGACGTAGGATGTGCATGTCCCATGCTGACAATAAGAACATGCAGACATGCAGGTGGGTAGTTAGAGGATGTGCATGTCCCATGCTGACAATAAGAGCAGGTGGGTAGTTAGCAGATGTGCATTGTGCATATGGGCAGTGCGGGAATGGATATTGGAATAAATCTCTTACAATTACATGTGTTATTTACTTATTTACTTATATGTATTTCTGTTAGTACAAATGTTTGACATTATCCTTTATTTTGTTGGTTTTAAGTACATGAGTTTGTTAATTGGTTTTGCTATTTAAGTAGTCAAGTATTATTAATGAAGAGGAGGAAGTTTTATTCAATCTGCAGTTTATTCTTATCCTAAGAGAAAACATTATAAAATAATTATTGAAACATAACACTGGTATCAAAGCCTAGTTATGAAAATCAATAAAAAAAACATATTGAGCATCTAGAAACTGCACTTGGTGAAGTCCAAGATGGACTACACAAAATGAAGATCAATATAGCTGATAGACATTGTCATTTGAAGGAAATCCTCAATCATCTTTTTGATGTATTGCTTCCCAACCAGGAACCTATAAACATGGGCGGAGGAATGCCAAGGGCTAGGATGGGTTATAGCTCAAGTTAAGATTTTATCAATATTTTTAATTAATTTTACATAAAAAATTCATAATTTTTAATTGAGTTATTAAAAAAATTTAAAAATTTGCATGGAGCCTTGTAATATAATACTTTAGCTTGGGTTAAAATTTCAGAATTTTTGGAGAAATTTAGAAATTTGATAAAAAAA